CAAATTTCGTGCCCTATAAATGTCAATATTTTTGAGATCAACCACCTACTTTGACTGGCCTCTCGTTCCCAATCTTCTTGTCGTCAATTTGGGGAATCTTTGTCGGATAATCTGAAATCATGATCGAATTACAGCGTCAGTTTTAAATTCATTGCAAGGTCCATTGAGGATAAACAAACGCTACAGCTCTAGGTTTCTTTACTTTGCCAAATGTCGCTGGACCAACAGCGGAAAACTTTCTCTTCTTGCAAAAGTCCAGGTAGTGAGTATACAGCACGCATCTCGGGACACAAACACCTTGGATCAGCTCGTAGTTCTCCGATAACCTTCAGAAAACAACAAGAAACAATCATGATCTAACGTCTGGCGGTTGTGGTGTAAAACATAAACTAAACTAACTTTATCACTGAATAATTGGCTGAATTGGCTGCTGAAAAGTTGCGCAGTTAATTTAAGTCAGCCAGTTTGTTCCATTTTTAACGCGTCGATTAGGAATGGCGAAGTCCCTAAACTATGGAAATCAGCAGATGTATTGCCACTTGGAAAGATCACTCAACCAAAATCTATCGAATCTGATCTCAGACCGATTTCTTTAACTACTGTTCTAAGCAAAATTCTCGAAAGTTTTGTGTTTAGTTGGCTTGCCCCTATTGTAATGCCACATATCGATCCATACCAGTTTGGAAGTGTCAAAAGATCGTCTACTACACATGCCCTTGTACACTTAGTTCATTATTGGCTTTCTGCCCTGGAAGCACCAAACACGATGATCAGAACTTGTTTAATCGATTTTGCAAAAGCCTTCGATCGAATTGATCACAACATTCTCATGCATAAACTATTGATCCTTGGGGTCCCTCCGGTGCTTTTAAACTGGTGCTCGAGCTTTCTCCAAGAAAGACAACAACGTGTTAAAGTGGGAACTCACAAATCAAGTTGGAAACAAATCGCAGCTGGGGTGCCTCAGGGAACCAAATTAGGCCCTTTGTTTTTTCTTATTATGGTGAACGATCTGAGATGTAATGCACCATTGTACAAATATGTTGACGACTGTGCGGTTACTGAAATCATTAAATCATTTGACTTGCAGTCATCCAGTTTACAACGTGAGATCGACTACATAAATCAATGGTCGGTTAAGAATAATATGAAATTAAATGTCACAAAAACTAAAGAATTCAATATATCTCTGTCTAGCGCCCCACATTCGTTCCCTGCTTTATCTATAGACAATCAACATCTCGAAGTTGTCCACACTGTTAAGCTTCTGGGAGTGTACTTGTCTGCTGATTTAAAGTGGACGACGCATATTGACCACATATGTTCCAAAGCCAGTAAACGTCTATTTGCAATTCGAATATTGAAACGAAACGGCGTTGAAGTGTGGGATCTTAGAAATGTATACTGTAGCTTCATACGACCTGTGCTAGAGTATGCCTGCCCCGTGTGGCATTTTTCATTGCCTGTATTTTTGTGCGACCAAATTGAACAAATTCAACGCCGGGCTCTGAAAATTATCTATCCTGATTTATCGTATAAAGACGGTTTGAACGAACTCAATCTGCCCACTCTTGTTGATCGGAGGGTTTCCTTGTGTAAACGGTTTTACGAGAACAGTTTTGGCACTTCAAGTAAAACTTCTGACCTTTTACCTAGAAAGAAATCTTATTCATATAACCTTAGAAATGCTAGAAACATTCCACTTTTTAAAACACGTACAAGTAGATTTTATGACAGTTTTTTACCAACCTGCGTACGGAAATGGGACTTGCCTTGAACTATTCCAATTTAATAACTTAACACAATAATGCATAAATTTGTATTGTACATATATTTTTATATATTCTAATCTAACTATTTTATTTTAATATTTGTTACTTGAGTTTTTCAGTTTCTTTGTAAACTGCCATTCAAGTTTTTAATAAATTCAATTCAAATTCAATTCAATTCATAACTCTATCAGTTCTGAACTGTTCTTCCTAGAGTAAGGATCATCTCCAGTAAGGATCATCTCTTATTAATCCAGTGTTACTACAGGAGAAAACCTAAACGAAACTAACGTTATTTATACTGGATAGCTCTATCAGTTCTAAACTGTTCTTCCTAGAGGTCCAGTAAGAATCATCTCTAGCTTATTGATCCAGTGTTACTACAGGAGGAAACCTCAACTAAACTAACTTCGTTTATACTGGATAGCTCTATCAGTTCTAAACTGTTCTTCCTAGAAGTTCAGTAAAGGCTGCATTCCAGTTACGCGTTTTTCATACGCACGTAAAAGTTGAATTCGCTTTACATCCTACTTTTGAAATAACTAAATTTATAAAAGGACAACATTCAGTTTTGTGTATGATTTTACTTGTGTATTTTAACATATTTATATGTATTTCAACTTTTACGTGCGTGTACGCACGTATGAAAAACGCGTAACTGGAATGCAGCCTTTAGAGTCATCCTTTGTTGACCAGGAAGAAAACGGAGTACTTGTACTCTTCTCAAATCTTCTCACAAATCTGGTCACAGAGATAAAAGACACATACGTTAACCATTACGGACCATCAACACCATTTCGTCCACTTACCATTGTAAAGTTTCTGCAGTTTGATTTTGCTTCGCGAGTAAGTTACGTTTGTTGTGCTCTTTTGTAGAACGACGCCGACGTGAAGCTGAAATAATTCAATCATAAAAGTTCTTAAATGCCGTTAAAGATTTTACTTACGGCTGTTCTGGTTTGTGTCTCAACTGCCAGAGAAGATTAAAAGTACTTGAAATCTCACTAGCCTTCAGACAAAGGATCTTCTCTGATTTAAGACTGTTTTTTTCCAGCAGCTTACTGTAGAATACTACCTACACTGGACCAGATTTCAGGAGTCCCAAGCTGGGATTAAGTCAAGCAAGCATGTAGCTCATGTTCTGTCAAGCTTAGCCTCACATCAACAGGTAGTTGTTTAACTTTTAGTTTAGTGAATACTTACACAAATTCCTTGCTTTCCCATGGTTGCTTGGTTGGCTTTCGTCGCCAGAGAAATACGAATCATTCGCTGTTATTTTGTCGTGAGAACGACTCTTTCTTGCTTGCATTATTTTCCAGCCGAATCCTTGCCTGGTTACGCCGAAATATTTGCACAAATTCAACTAAATATCTCGCCCTGAAAGGTTTAAATGCCCGATTCCAATTAAACTACGAAATTGCAACACGCTTGCTTAGAATTTTGGAATGGAAGGCTTTTCAGTTCTAAACTTTTTGTGATATTCACTTTACATCGAGGGCAGCTCATTACACTAGCTTTTTTCCGAAAGCCGTCAACCTTTGTCCAGCTGCTGAAACTCCCACAGAAAAGGCAAAACAATGTGCTTGTTTAATTTTGTGTTCAAACAGACATTGAATAAGAGAAATTATTTCTCATTATTTTCGCCGTTATTGCATAGCTGCGCTTCTAATTACCTCGTTAACGAATAAAAGGAATATCAAATTTAACAGCAAGACACGCGCATTGATTAAGCATAAACCTTTTCAAAATCCCAAGAATGAGCTGGACATGTCACATGTGGTAAAAAGCTACGATTTTCACACAAAATTGTTGATATTTAATGTTTTAACGCACACAAAAATACTTAAATCCTGTTTAATTATCATTGTTGTCTAGTTAAAAAATTTACATCAAGAATTTTTAATTTTATTTGTTCATCTGCTGTGTAAACACACAAATTGTTTTACAAAGGCACAAAGGGGACAGCATAAATTAAAATCAAATTTACCCGCTGAGAATTGTTTAAAAATGCACAGATTGACGAGATTACGATCATGTACTGAAGCCCGGATGACACGAGCGTGAGAGTAGACTTGCTCCAAGTCTCTCTTAGTTGTGGAGACCTCTCCACAAAGAGAGACTTGGAGCAAGTCTAGTGTGAGAGTTGATAAGAGTTGGCAGTCCGCATTGTTACAGGGGACATTTCAAGCCCTATATTAACAGAATAACTTAAACAACGTTTTAACTTAAACAGAATAACCAAGTTAGCGAGACTGCCAACTCTCATCCTCGTTTCATCCGAGCTTATCACTGGAACTCTAGGACAAACAATTTAGAATTTAGATCAAGCTAAGTTGAGAACGAAGAATTTTATGAATTTATTTATCTCGTTTGTATATCTTGGCAGCTAATTCAGTGAAGATTTCCTGAGGGAGACCACTGGGTGCTTTGTTAATCAGTTGCATTAATTTTCCATAACTAATTTTCTCGTAATCATGGTAGACAGTTTTCATGTCCAATTTTGAATACACTTCTTTGACTTTCGCTACAGCAACAGGGTCGTTGATTCCGTAGTTTTCCTTAAAATAAAATCAATGCTTTGTATTCAATGACGGCCACTTCGCGACCCTTAGGGGGAGGGAGTTGGATTAGGTTTACAGCTTATAACCACCTTTTGCATAGCTCGAAATCTCAGTTCTTTAACACGGAATCAATAAGAGATGATCCTAACTGGACCTCTAGGAAGAACAGTTTAAAACTGATAGAGCTATCTAGTATAAATAAAGTTAGTTTAGTTTAGGTTTCCTCCTGTAGTAACACTGGATTAATAAGAGATGATCCTTACTGGACCTTTACGAAGAACAGTTTAGAACTGATAGAGCTATCCAGTATAAATAAAATTAGTTTAACTAGTTTATTTTGACATGTCAACAAGGAAGTCCATGTACCTTCAATACATTCATTTGTTCCTCGTCAACCCTCTGTAAAGCTTGAACCAACAACCAAGAACATTTCGTTTCTTCAATATCTGTCCCAACTTTTCCAGTCACCGCTGGGTCGCCATAACAATCCAAGTAGTCGTCCTGGACAGAAAGAATACGTTATTAAATTAAACTAACTTTATCAATACTAAACTGTTCTTCCTAAAGGTCCAGTAAGAATCATCTCTTGTTGATCCGGTGTTACCACAGGAGGAAACCTAAACTAAACTAACTTAGTTAACTTTATTTATACTGGATAGCTCTATCAGTTCTAAACTGCTCTTCCTAGAGGTCCAGTTAAGGACTAACTTCAGCAGAAATAAACGAATTTAAAAACTTGCTTGAATTTGAAAGAATTCTCCCATTTCTAGAAGAACTTCCTTCGCTATTTCGTGAAGTTTTTCATCAGTAATATTGTGCTGAATAAAAAAATAAGGTAAGAATTAAAGTCAACATTATTATTACATTTATACAACAAATATAATGGCTGAAAGCGAAATAAAATATTTTTCAACATTCAGATTTTGACAAAACGCAATACCATATACATCGCCAAAGCCACAGGAAGGTAAAATGAGTAGAATGCAGTTTTCCATTTCACAATTGCCTTGTATCTAAAGCGAAAACACAGATAGAGTACAAAGACACTGGCAATGCATTCTGATCGATGTAAATCGCTAGGGTTACTTAGAAAACGGATTCTGGCATTTGAAAACCAAGTTCTGGCATTTGTAAAGGGAGTTCTGGCATTTGAAAACCAAGTTATGGCATCTGAAAAGGGAGTTTTGGCATTTGAAAACCAAGTTCTGGCATCTGAAAAGGGAGTTTTGGCATATGAAAACCAAGTTCTGGCATCTGAAAAGGGAGTTCTGGCATTTGAAAACCAAGTTCTGGCATCTGAAAAGGGAGTTTTGGCATTTGAAAACAGAGTTCTGGCATTTGAAAGCGTAGTTCTGGCGTTTCAAAACCAAGTTCTGACGTTTGAAAAGGCAAGTTCTGGCATTTGAAAGGGAGTTCTGCCATTTGAAAACGGAATTCTGGCATTTGAAAAGATACTTCTGATATTTGAAAACCAAGTTCTGGCATTTGAAAAGGGAGTTCTTCCATTTGAAAACGGAGTCCTGGCGTTTGAAAAGGTACTTCTGGCATTTGAACCAAGTTCTGCCATTTGAAAAGGGAGTTCTTACGTTTTAGGGTAACGGTTCCATAGAATAGTACCTACATTGGATCACCACGTAAAATCAAATACAAGAAATATTTACCTTTTCAATGTGAAATTACAAAAGTTTTCTCCGGGTTTTGTAATTAGGTCCAAGGTCTGGCCTGTTTCAGTTTGAAAAGTTGTCTAGAATTAAAATAGAAATCTTTTTTCAAGTGTTAGTAAGGAGTTTATTAAACAGGACTGGAAAAGTCGGATCTCGAGATTCTGTGGAACATCGTCTTAGCAAGAAAATTCAGCAACGTTTTCAATTTTTCAAGGAAAAATCTTAAGGAATCATCACATCACAACTTCCTTATCTATCATTTGAGATTGTGACGTTTTTACGCACTTTTGAGGAAGATTTAAAAGGCAAATTCAGGATCCAAGCGGAACATTAAACACTTAGGGCCAGTTGTTCAAAGGTAGGTTAATGCTAACCCTGGGCGTGCTGTTTTTATTGTGTATTTCTACACATCTGTCTATTTCAAAACTCCAGAAAAGTAAACTCCTATCGATCCAGACAAGATCTCTGAAGAAATATTTCCAAATTTATAGAAAAGCTGTCAGGAAGTTTGCTTCGAATTTTAGGTTAAGCAAGGGTTAAACTGACCGAGCTTTGAACAACCGGCCCTTGAAGTCTGAGTTTGAATGACTAAACCAAGCTAGATTAAACTGATCTCGATTAAACTGGAATAAACTGACCTCGTGCATCAATGTGATAATATTCCCATAGCATTCTTTGCTCTTGAAATTGATATCTATCAATCTGTGAACGCATGATTCCAGCATCACAGCGTCATTCACTGCTATCAGTTCAATATCCGGCTGGAGAAAAGAAATCAAAATTTCAAGCTTAGCTTTATTTTTGTAACTAATTCGTACCAGCGTCTTCTAAACTATTCTCCCTCAAAGATCTAGCAAGGATCATCTCTTATTGATTCAGTGTTACTACAAGAGGAAACCTAAACTAAACTAACTTTATTTATACTGGATAACTCTATCAGTTCTAAACTGTTCTTCCTAGAGGTCCAGTAAGGATCATCTCTTATTAATCAAGTGTTACTACAGGAGGAAACCTAAACTAAACTAACTTTATTTATACTGGATAGCTCTATCAGTTCTAAACTGTTCCTCCTAGAGGTCCAGTATGGATCATTTCTTATTGATCCAGTGTTACTACAGGAGGAAACCTAAACTAAACTAACTTTATTTATACTGGACAGCTCTATCAGTTCTAAACTGTTCTCCCTAGAGGTCCAGTAAGGATCATCTCTTATTGATCCAGTGTTACTACAGGAGGAA